ACACTCCGTGTGAAACAAGTAATCATTGGTGTTAACAAAATGAATTCTACCGATACACCCTACAGTCAGAAGAGATACAAGGAAAAATTGTTAAGGAAGTCAGCACTTACATTAAGAAAATTGGTGGGGCCAGCAGATGACATAATAGTTACATTGCCGGATTCCCACATAGTTGACCCTGGTTCAAGTACTGGACTGGTGGCTTCAAACTCATGCCAGGCTGGGGCCAGCAGGTGGTGTGGTGGTTAAGGGCATTGGACTCTCACATGACCAACTGTGGTTCAAGTCCTGGACCCGGCGACTTGCTTTCTCACTTTCCTTCTCTCTCACTCATCAAATTTAAACAAATAAATAAATAAATTTAAATAAAATAAAATAAAAAACTCATGCCAGGCGCATGTGTGTGCATGCCCAAAATCCCAAGATGAGAATAGGAGAGAAGGTACTGCGGTGTGATCATCCCCCTGAGGGGGGCGATTTCTCACTCTCTGTCTCTCTGTTTCTCTCAGTCTCTCCAGCGAGTGCACATGACCTATAGCAAAACTCTTAAAAAAAATAAAAGAAAAAGAAAATTGGTTACAATTCCAAAACAGTAATATTTGTGCCAATTTCTGGTTAGAATGGTCACAACATGCTGGAGCCAATGCTAATATGCCATGGTTCAAGGGATGGAAAGTCACTCGTAAAGATGGCAATGCCAGTGGAATTACATTGCTTGAAGCTCTAGATTGCATCCTACCACCAACTCATCCAACTGGCAAGCCCTTGTATCTGTCCCTCCAAGAGGATGTGTACAAAACTGTTAGTATTGGCGCTGTCCCTGTGGGCTAAGTGGAGACTGGCGTTCTCAAACTTGGTATGGTAGTGTCCTTTGCAACAGTCAGTGTGACCACTGAATTAAAGTCTGTTGAAATGCACCATAAAGCTTTGAGTGAAGCTCTTCCTGGGGACAACATGAGCTTCACTGTCAAGAACCTGTCAAAGATGTTTGGCATGGCAGAGTTGCTGGTGACAGCAAAAACAACTCACCAATGGAAGAAACTGGCTTCACTGCTCAGGTGATTATCATCAACCATCCAGGCCAAATCAATGCTGGCTATGCCCCTGTACTGGATTTTTACACAGTTCACATTGCTTACAAGTTTGCTAAGCTGAAGGAAGAGACCGATTGCCATTTTGGTAACAAGCAGGAAGATGGCATTAAATTCTTGAAATCCAGAGTTGTTGCCATTGTTGATATGGTCCTTGGCAAGCCCACATATGTTGAGAGCTTCTCTGACTATCCTCCTCTGGGTCATTTTGCTGTTCGTGATGTGAGACAGTTGCTGTGGGTGTCATCAAAGCTGTGGACAAGAAGGAGCTGGAGCTGGCAAGGTCATCAAGTCTGCCCAGAAAGTTCAGAAAGCTAAATGAATAGCCCAAATTCCTGCCACCCCAGGCTTAATCAGTGGTAGAAGAACAGCTGCAAAACTGTTTGTCTCAATTGGCAAATTTAATACTAAAGATTGGTAAATGAGGGACCAGCAGTTAGCATAATGGCTATGTCGCTGGACTCCCA